GTCCAGAACAATTATTTTTTTAAAAAATAACTGTTATGCCAGATTCTTTATATACATTATTGCTAGTCTCATGTATCCTGAAAGTGCTTTATTATTATCCCCACTTTTATTGATTACAAAAATTATGTCAGATGCATATTTAATGTAGGCTAAAGTTAATCACTATCCTATCCTGAATATTCATAAGGAGCTTAGACCATTTCAAACTCAAATCCCCCTTCATTTTCCAATCTTTTGTTGGCTGGTATTTTAATTTCACTTTGTTTAAGAAAAACATCAGTCATCATTAAAATGTTTGATCATCAAAAAAAAAAGTGATGTCAGACACTTTTAAAAAATTGCCTAAAATTAACCCAACTAGTCAACAGAGCTGGAATTGGAACTGAGATTTCTTTGGCTCCAGTTTCTGCTATAACATGCTACCAACTTAGCCACCGACAAATCAGTGTGAAAATTCCACACGACTCATTGCAATTTTACCCCAAATTTTGCATCAATATTTTTGTGGATTAAAATGTTTAGAAGGAGAGGATATTGAAGTCATCAACTAAAAATGACAACTGGGGTTTATATGAGGGTTTTGCTGCCCTATTCACAGATAACTGATAACTTAATGTGTAAAATAGTGAGAGTTTCTGGAGTATTACTATGAACTGAATGTTTTTGTGCCCCCCCGCCCCCCGCCCCCACCACCAGTTCATCTGTTGAAGTCCTAATCCCCAATGTGATGTTATCTGGAGGTGAGTCTTTGGGAGGTAATTAGATGATGAGGCGATGGAGCCCTCAAGAATGGGATTACTGCTCTTATCAGAAGAGACACGAGAGACATGATCTCTCTCTTTCTGCCATGTGAGGATACAGCAAGAAGGTTGCTGTTTGCAAACCAGGAAGACGGCTCTCACCAGACACCAAATCTTCTGGGACTTTGATCTTGGACTTCTCAGCCTCCAGAACTGTGAGAAATAAATGTTAATTGTTTAAGCCTTATGGTATTCTGTTATAGCAGCCCAACAAGAAGGCTAAGACAGAAATCATTTACAGATTTTTTTGGCTAATATCTTGGGATATTAAAATAATCACGACCCATTTAGAGGAAACTATGCTATTGAATCAGCGCCCTGAATGTGGAAAGCTTTCTGTTGACAGACACTCACCATGTCCCCATGGCAGAGATGCACCATACTATGCTTTTGGAAATGAAACACTCCGCAAATAATACTCAGAAATATCAAAATGTAGTCTGACCTTGGAAAATCAGCCTTTATTCACAACTAATAACACTAATCTCCTTCTCTAGCCCTCCATGTCTCTTATCAGGAAATGTCAATTATAAACCCACAAACAGTATTCTGAGTTTCCCCCAAAGGAATAAGTTTCCAAAATACAAAACGAGAAAATTACATAAACAGAAAATGGGTGTAAAATGTGTGAATAGTCTTTGAAACCTACTGTCTGTTGCCCTGCTCTGTGCCTATTTTTCATACCCACTAATACCATCTACACACTATTCTGCCAATTATGTGATCTCCCAATTATTTTGTCCATTTCTTAGATATAAATTTAAAGACCTACCCATTCTACTCCTTTTCCCTGCCCCCTCTCCACAAACTTCCCACTGGCCTTGCTTTCTTCTCTCCTGCCTGAGTTCAATTATGTGAATCAAAACTCTGAAGCTCTATCATTCTAGATGCCATGAGTTTGGTAGTAGATGTTGAGTAGATTCCACCAGTCTTAGGAGAGAAAGAACATGGTAAGAGAATGCAGAGGGACAGCCTATGGGCCACTGGGCATTTGCAGCAGCACAAGCAATTCCAGGCAACTCTTCACCAATTTGGGGAGGATCATCAGCCACTTTTGGAGCATGACTTTGAAACTTTTATCCAGTACAACACACAGGTGCAGTCTATGCTAAACAGATTAGTCAAAATGCCTGGTGACTCTGAGGTCTGAAACACAGGCCAAATTCCACTCTTCCCTACATGAGTTGAAATATCTTCGAAATGAGCGACCTTAGAAGGTGTAGCTGAGAGCCAACTTCTGCTTCCTAAAGGAATTCGACAGAACTAGCAGGTATCTAAGGGAAACTCCAGTGATGTAACTGTAAGAGTGGAATGGAAATTTTTCAGTAGTGTTGTGCCACTAACCACGACTGGTCATGGAGAGGTAAACTGAGCAGTAAATGTGATGCTGGAATCCACATGCCACCACTGAAAAACCACATACAGGGGCTGGCCTGGTGGTGTAGTGGTTGGGTTTGCGCGCTCCGCTTTGGTGGCCCGGGGTTCGCAGGTTTGGATCCGGGGTGCAGACATATGCAGCGCTTATCAAGCCATGCTGTGGCAGACGTCTCACATATAAAATAGAGGAAGATGGACATGGATGTTAGCCCATGGCCAATATTCCTCAGTGAAAAAGAGAAGGATTGGCAACAGATCCTAGCTCAGGGCTAATCTTCCTCACAAAAAGAAAAAAAAGAAACCACATACAGATCCCCAACCTATTGCCTTCATCCCTTTTCCTTTCATTCAGAGCTGATGGACGACAGATTTTGCAGCCAACAAGGCAGTAGGAAAAAGGGAAACAGGCCTTCCCCACATCTTTCTGTTTAATTCCATGGCAGACACACCACTATGACACTTGCAATTTTAACACCTGTTTCCCTCTCTCTCAAATGCCATTTAGCTACTTTTTAGGAGATGAGCCTGGAGCACAGAATTGGAGCGTAAGAAGGGACCGATGCTGCACCTCCTTTACAACAAGGGAGAATAAAAATGTAAGGCTTGAGACTGCTTCCAGGTCTTTTCCTAACTGCGGCATTGAAATTTTACATCTCTCATCTTGTTCCTCTCCCTTCTTGGTTTTCTCCCTTTCTGACTCAGTGGAGATTTAGATCATTCGGATTCAGTAGTCCCTCTAGAGAGATGACCAGACGCAAATGCAGACATTGAAGTGCAGACACAGCACCGAACAGGGACGTGCCAAAAACATTCAAAGGGAAGCAAGCCAAATGTGAAGGAAGAGGGCACTGAAGCAACCAGTCATTCCAGGCAGGCACCTGAAATGACCATAAATGTTGTTTGACTAGAGAGACTCTTACCATGATTTGCTGCCAGGTTCAGGGGAAGTGCAGGAAAGGTTGTTGAGAAAGAATGAGACAGCGTGTTAATTATAAAAAGAAAAACGTTCTAATTTGGATGAATTTTTGTAGAAAAAGACCTCAGGGATATTTAAGGTGGTAACTGGGTTTGACATAAATTGAAATGTAGATTGGAGAGATTTTTTGGTTAGCTGCTTTCTCAAATTTTTGATGATTAAAAAAAAAAGGGCTCCCAATATTGTTAAAAGGATGGGAACTTCTTAACCAATGAATCTCATTTTCTTTTTATCTTTCCCTCTCTCTTTCCCCTCTGTTAATCAAACACAGTCCATTCCTTTCTTGAATATTATTTTCTCCCCAACTCTACTCTCTGTGGCAAATCCTATCAGCAGTATTTTTTATTTTCTGGTTTCCAGTGCATTTGGATTCAGTGGTGGTATTAGCATGCCTTTCTGTAAATATACTTACCTATTAAACATATTCAGGGCAAATAATTCCACATACTGCACTGAAATGGAAAATTAAAAAAAAAATGCGTATCATTTCTCACTGTAGGATCCCTATCATGGCAATCTAGATAAAGGAAAATGTGAAAAAAATCTCTCTCTTAAGAGTCAGTTGTTAACTGAGATCTGGATCAATAGGTATAAGAGATGCCTGGGACAGAGAATCAGTTTCCTTTGTTAGGAATACCGTCTTGTTCAGATCTAAGATTTCTGTGCCCGATGCACGGGTGTTTTCCTTTTCAGGAGTGGGGATCTCTGGTCAGAGCACCACTAAAGGGGCCGTCAGGGCCCCCTGCTGGGTGGTTTACCTCATTTAACTCTTACAACACCAAGGAGAGAAAGACACGGGTAGCCCCGCTGCGCAGGGAAGAATGTGCCTCAGAATTTAGGTAAATTGCTTAGGATCTCTCTGCTAATAAGTTTCAGAGGCACGATTGGAATTCAAATCTGCCTACGTGCCTTTCACAGCGCTACAAAACGGAGAGGTTGAGTTGGTCTGATACGCTTTTTCCAGTTCCCAGAATGAATTCTTTGTGGGAAGTTGTTTCTCCTTCAATTTCCTTGAGGCCCAACATGGTGAGTGTAGGTATAATATTCAGGATCCTCGAGTTTGGGTTTTTAATTGGGGCCGGCACCTGTCTCAGCGTCCTGTCGCTGTCCCGGGAACGTGGTGCTAGATTCCACGGCGTCTCGGCGGGGACGGGGAGTCCCCGCCAACTAAAGAGGGAGGAACTGTCCGCAGCCCCAGACGAAACAAATAAATAAATAAAACAAAACAATCAGCACAAGACAGCCGGTGGGCCTCCAGTGGATGGAGGAGAGGAGGGTCGCGGGCAATGAGGCACCTCGAGAGCGCCCTCTGGCGAGAGCAGAGCGCGCGTGTCCCTCGCCCCGGCCCCCCCTCGCCGCCGCGGCGCCCCCGCTCGGCTCTCCGGTTCACTCTCGGTCTCTCACTCCGAGAGACACAGACGGCAGCTCTCCCAGCGAGCGGGGGACAGGCGGAGGCGGCGCCAGCACTCGCCCCGAGAAGACCTGGGCAGCGGGAGAGAAGGCGAAGCCCGGAGCCCCATCCCCTCTCTCCGTGGGGGTACCTTGAACCGCCGGGCAGCTCCGCGTCCCCGCGCGACGCCCTTCGCGGCCACTTCGCGGGGCGTGCCAGGACTTGGGGACGCGGCTCGGGAAGAGCCAGGGCGGGCGGCGGCGGCGCGAGGGTGCGCGCACTGGGACTGGAGCGGAGTGAGTGGCGGGCTGGGCGGCGGCGGCGGCCGTAGCCGCGGGTGCCTCCCC